AATGGGGGGGGGACGAAGACGGCATTATAAACGCCCAACTAGACATTGAAGACTTTACTAACAGAAGTCGGCTTGGAGCCTGTATCTTCTTCCAACATTCGAAAGTTCGGCAATGCAGTGAGAAATTAGAAGTAGCGCCCCGCTGAAATAGATATTGCAGTTAGGCGTACAAACCGTCAGTCGGCCATCTAACCGCATTTCGTAACTTCTAGTTCTAGGTCGAGACCGGATAAAAACCCAATAGGGCAAAGCAACAGAACGAACAGGTGGAAAAAAGGTCTATGTGTTAGATATTATGTGGGATTGCAGCCATTAGTATTCTTGATACTAGTCCTTGGGGCACACGTTTCTGTCTTCCCTGGTCCTTCAAATCAAGTACGTTTGAAATGACACTTACTAGCTTACTGTTAGTCACCAAGAACACGGACGGACTGAGTCGGATTTGTTTCTTGTTAGTTTGACGAATTCTTGGGCTTTTCCCGTGTGAGGAGCCCCAATACTTCGACATCCGTCCATGGCAAATAAATATATAATATAAAATGGAGTAGACTGATCATAGACTCGTGGTATTGTAGCGCCACTAAGTCATAATCATTTTTCCGTATTCGTGAAGCACCCCGGTAGTTGACTCGTTAACGCACGCACAATGCAAAAGCAATGAGACAGATGAAAAAAAAAACAATTTACGTCTGAACGAAATAAGAAAAAATGGTGTCTTTTTACAGGTAGTGTCAATAGACGATTGTTAAAATCCGTATTTGGATCGGCTTCTGAACTGGTTTCGTCTCGCTTCAGACCACTGCTCCTGCAACTCATACTCCTGCTCTTGGGCCTAGGAGGAAAAAAAGGAAAGGTTAGTCTGTTTTTTCAAGCAAGCACCAATGTTCTCTATTTTTTTGTATAACAGCAGACAGCCTTCGACTTTAAAAAGACGGCAATATTCGGCCGAGGCGGTAATAAACAGGGCTAAGCCTTCTGTACTTGTACTTTATACGGCTGTGGTCATGCCTGATCTTGACGGCCTCAATGATGTAACAGACGTTACCTCTCCACGCACGAGGATGAGCGTCAACGGACCGAGAAAGCTCAACACATTACTTCTTTTTTTTCATGAGACGGAGACCGAAAGTCCAAGAATCACTTCTATGCCCTGACGGACTGAGTCGAGCCAGGTTTTGAGTTGACCCCTTCTTCCATGGCTCCAATTGGATAACAGCATCGGATCGAGGGTAATAACACTGAGCTCGTGTGGTTGACGACGAATAACGTGTCCAAACCGCTCCAGTCGTTTGCCTCGGATAACCTGGGATATCCTTGCGATGTTCTCGCAGCGAGTGTGGACAGTCTCATTTTAGACAAGGCCGGTGTACTTCACTCGAAAGATAGTGCTCAAACAGTAGTGATCAAATACCTCCAGCTTCCTCTCATCTTCCATGCGCATAGCCTAGCATACACAGTCTTAGAGAAAGACAGACGTAACGGATGCACAATACACGCGAACTTTCGTGGCAATATGAATATAACGTCGGGTTCATTGGTACTTTCATAGGTTTGAGAAAACTCGACGAGCTGTATCCATTCCGAAGACAATGTCATCCTTACTTTATCTATTCAGCATCAACCTCACCCCGAGGTATTTGAAACTGTCTATGTCTGGAAGCTGACAGCCATTAACCTAGATATGTTCCTTTCCCTGGTCAGAAATGCAGCAGTTAAACGCTTTGGTCTTCCCCATTTAGCGACCTCGTTCGCCCGTGACACGGTAGACTGTAGATCACCAAAACTTGAAACCAGTAAAGCGATATCCTCAACGTAGTCGAGATTATTCAGCCGGCGTCTGGGCATAAGCTCACCACCGTCCCTTCGTGTAGGATCTTTTTGAGGATCCAGTAGATGGCTTAGTTAAATAGAATGGGCGACAGGACACAGCCTTGTCAAACACCTGGCCCAATAGCGAACAGTTCGAAAATTTTGTAAAATAAATCAGGAATGCACGCATTGCTAATCGCATTGATTTTTGGCGGTATACTATCTAGCGCCATAATACGCCATAAGGTAGAAAAGATAGAAATAAGTTTTGAAAATAGTTTTTAGCCAAAAACTAAACCACCAGCTAGAGAAGAGTGACCACAAAACGTTTCGCGCTGGCATTACTGCTGATAATGATTTCGTAGGCACACATATGCACACTGCGGTCTGGGTATAAGAAAAACTTACGACGTGAGACACAGGCAATCCGTCCAGACCGAAGCTACAATTTTTGACTAGTATTAAACACTACATGCGTGATACGGATATCTGCTTAAAGGCCCAGGATCAAAATGGTAGTAGACGCTTTCAATAAACAGGACGACATTCAAAGACTTTTCAGAACTGTTCCCAGCAACATGGGAGGTGTTTTTAAAGCAACACGCGTATTTAAAATGACTTACCTTGTATGCCAACCAAGTGATCTGGTGTTTTCTGAAAGCCAACTTGTTTGGTGCTTCAGCCTCCACCTTCTTCGGTCGGTTGTCAGAGGTAATCGACTTAAGCAACTCCAATTCAGCCCCATCAGTCAGTTCATCTTGGCTAACAGAGCGAATCTCTGAGTTGGCTGAGGCAATAACATCCATGACGGCAGATGAACCAGCTCCAATTTGAAGTTGCCCACATCCACCGAGGCGGGCCCGCTTGCGCTGCAAAATACAGGAGATTGCAGCTTGTAAATGAATGCAAAGGGAGAACAAGCCCATTTCAGGGGCTGTTTAACAGACTAGAAGTGTAATGCAAAAGGGGTAGTAGATAGTAAACGCAAAAGCACACAGAAAGCTTACCTCTGGGGCGGGAATAAAGGAGGCTTCTGTCCAGACGGGCTCTGGTTCCTCCGCATTCTCGTATTGATTCGACTCCTTTGCCGAATGCTCTGCTGGTTTTTGTCCAGGTTCGGGGAGATCCTCATCGGAAAATGGTTTTTCTGGAAGAACTGGAAGACCTGGAGGTGCAGAACTAGGAACATTGGCATTAGGAGGAGCAGTTGTGGAGGAGGTTGGGACTGTAGATGGTGCCATCACAGTGGATTGAGCAAGAACTTCCAACCGTTTCGCTTCTTCTTTGGCATCATAAAAGGAGAAGTATTTTGACTCTCCATTTCCCTGTTCAGTGTCACCATCCTCCTCTACAACAAACTCATCTTCATCCTCCTCCGGCAAGGTAGGGTTCGCGGATTTGAG